TGCTCTTGTGTTTTATTGATTTTATCTGTGCTTTTTCATGTTTTATTCCATCAAACTATCGACTATGGTGAACATAATGCTATATTCGATCAAATCGAGAGTCCTGGAAGTTTGCACAAACGTTATTTCTTATGCAAGGACGGCGGACATTATTCATCACGACCATTATATGCCTGGACAAAACACGGCTATATCTGTTAGTTACATTCTTCCTCAGAAAGACCTTACAATCTATGTGGATGTTGAGCTAAATCCAGGACCTATCAGATCGTTTAATAACTGTCGGAATATTTCGGGGCAGACCAGTGTATTACATAGTCAGAACTGCTATCGAAATGCTGACATTACAACAACAACAACAACAACAACTGGGTCTGGGCGTCATATGTATGACAATATATTATTACAATTGTCCCATTTGCCGGCGAACAGTTTGTGTTTCTACAACAATCGTATTCCGGCTGGAGCCGCTTTAGGGTGGCCATATGTTTGCAAAACTAATCGAAGCTATCGTGGTAAGAGAAGTTGGAAAAAAGTAAAGCAGAGGGAAGCCTCGAAGTATTTTAATATACAAGTTATCAGTAATTCACCTATGGTACAAAGGTCAAAGAAATTTACATATAATTCCACGCGAAATTATTATTATAATAATCTCGTACAAATTCCTCTGGAATCTAATGTTTCAAATTGCGGACCGCGTTTACGGTTTGCGGTATGGAATGCACGTTCAATTAAAAACAAAATAACTTCGCTATGTGACCTTGTTATCTCTGAACGTTTGGATATATTAGCTTTAACTGAAACGTGGTTGACAGGCAGCGATAGTTTTGTTATTGCTGATCTCACAAACACTTTGCAAGACCATGATATTTACCACTTGCCAAGGACAAACAGGGCCAAACAGGGGTGGTGGAGTAGCAGTCATTGTACGCAGAGGTCTTACCATAAAACAAACGGAATCTTGTATATTTCAATCTTTTGAGCATCTTGATTTAAGTGTTACCCTGGCGAACAAGACTTTTCGTTTACTGACAATTTATCGGCCGCCACCATCAAGGAAGAACAAACTAACAGTTGCACGTTTCTATTCTGACTTCTCTACATTGCTCGAAGGTATTACATCAGAACCAAACAAAATTGTATTGGCTGGGGATTTTAATTTTCACATTGATAACCTTACTGACACTAATGCACAGACTTTCACGGAACTGATTGATTCTGCTGGTTTACAACAGCACGTTACTGGTCCAACACATCGACGTGGCCATACGCTAGATCTTGTCTTGACTTGTTCTGACGATAATCTAATTTCAAATTTGACTGTTTTGGGAGAATCATTATCTGACCATCAACCTGTTTTGTGTAACATCGACTTTCCCCGCCCGCATGCCACCCGTAAAGCTGTTCTTTTTCGAAAGACTAAAAACATTGACATCACAAGATTTCAGAGTGATATTGTGGCGTCCTCACTAGTGGAAAATGATTCTGAAGAGGAAACAAATTTGGATACCCTAGTAACACTCTATACTGATACTCTCTGTTCACTTCTCGACAAACATGCTCCGATACAATCAAGGAATATTACTCTGAGACCACACTCTCCTTGGTACACGGATCAACTACGGCAACTAAAACGTGAGCAACGACGGTTGGAGAGACAATATGTATCTACCACCTTAACTGTCCACAAGCAAATGTACCAACAGGCATGTGCTGAGTATGCTCGTTCACTGGAAACTGCCAAAGTAAATTACTATACGACCAAAGTACAGGGGTGTAATAAAAAACAGTCGTTTAACTTTGTCGATGAAATGCTGAATGTGAAAACTACTCCAATTCTACCAAAACATGAATCCACCGAGGATCTAGTTGAACAGTTCAGTGCACATTTTGAATCAAGAATTCTTATCTTAAGACGGGAACTATCTGAATTACGTTCAAATGTAACTGTTGATCGGGCCGAGAAATGTCGCAGTTCTCTAACACATTTTGAGCGAGTTTCAATGAGTACAGTGCAGGATATCATCATGGTGTCAAAACCTAAATCTTGCCAATTAGACCCAATTCCAACATGGCTGCTCAAAAGTTGTATTGATGTCCTTTTATGTAATGTGATTTATGTATTATAAATTACAGACTGCCCCTGTAGCAACCGCATGTGCACGCATTCATTCTCCGAAGCTTTGTTTTCTTGGCATTCGACAAACATTAAAGATAGCACACTTTTGGGATAATTTGGCTAGGAGTAACAATCCTCCTAGCCGATTTATTTAAGTAAACAAAACAATATTTATTAATACGTATATGTTTGAAAATAGTAATGTTTTGGATAATTTGGCTAGGAGTAACCATCCTCCTAGCCGATTCATTTCAGTAAATAAAACAATATTTATTAATACATAAGTGTTTGAAAATACTAATGTTTCATGCCAAGAAAAGGGTGGAGCTAAATTATCGCCAACCCTTATGTCATAATATTATTCAATAAAGTAATTGTATAATTATAATCTTAAAAATAATACTAAGCTATAGGTATATAAGTATATGATTAATTGATTAAGTTGTTCATAGCGAATAGTCAACATGAGAGGAGGTTTTGGGGAGGAGGTGGGTCAACTTTGAATGATGTCTTTCTCAGCAGTTGTAGTCGATACTGACGATTGGCAGTGTAGATGTCCATTATATAAGGTTTGCACCACTCCTTTCACCCACATTGCGTGACAATATGCATGCTCTATTTTAGATATGGCGGCGCCAAGCTTATAGAGAATAATACATGGGTGCGCGGAAATACCAGATTTATTTCGAGTGTTGAACACGATATCTCACGAGTGAGCGCAGCGAACGAGTGAGATATCGTGTTCAACACGAGAAATAAATCTGGTATTTCCAAGCACCCATGTATTTTTCTGTTTATTATATAAACAAAATTCAGTGAAAAACAATAAAACGTCCGTGGCAATGCGTTTTACAAGAAATGATATTTTCACACGTAAAAATATCGTATTTTTTACGTGTGTTTAAATACGATTTTTCTCAGTGGCCAAAAACCCTATATAACACTTATGTTTATATAATAAATAGTATTAGTAAATTCCCTTAACGGCTTAACACCTTCCTAATAATTCTAGTTTCCTGGTTATTAAACTACTTTAGATAAAGTAGATTTTACTTTGATAAATCACATTACATAAATTCCTTATTTTCTTCGCAAATATTCAGTTTTACCAACTATAACAACCATCATAAATGCACCTTTGCGACAAGGAGTTTTTCCAACGAAATGGAAAGAATCTCTTCTGCGGCCTCTTATAAAGAAAATGTCATTAGATCGAGATGAATTTGATAATTTTAGGCCAATCTCAAATTTAGCATTTCTCTCCAAAACACTCGAAAAGATTGTTGCTTCTCAACTTGACACCTACTTAACAAATCATCAATTATATGCCAAGATGCAGTCAGCGTACAGAATCCATCACAGTACAGAGACAGCACTACTTAGAGTTGTGAATGACGTAATGAGGGGGATTGATGATTAACAAGAATGTGTTCTAGTGTTACTTGATCTTTCATCAGCATTCGACACAATTGATTTATCTTATTTATCCTCAAGAAATATGTCGGGTTTCATTCCTAATGTTTTGGTATTTGGCCATTCTTTTGTGAGCCGCTTAAATGACGATTTAAATAATGGTTTTGATTCCCTTTCCAAACAAAATTTTAACCTAGCCGATTCAGGCTTGTACGTATCTTTGAAGGGCACGGGCGGTCGAACTGTAGACAAAGTGTTTAAGTATGATATTTCCTTCTAAAACCGGATATCGTCGTTTTGGAAATAGGGACGAACGATTTGTAAAACCTTTCTCCGAAGGTGGTCGGTTCGCGGATAGACGATCTCGTACGCTATATGCGTGACGAGTTAACCATAAAGGTCATTGCCGTGTGCCAAGTTATAAATAGGCACATTCCGCATTCCGATACACCGGACCATGCTTTTAATGCAAAAGCTTCTATTCTGCGACAGTATTTGTCTGTCGTTTTGGCGAATGAACGTGGCGTATTTCTTTGGGACCATCGTAAAGTTGACAATGGTAGAATTGATTTGTTGTCTCCTGATGGGGTTCACTGCAACCCCCACGGACAGTATATCTTATACAGGAGTCATCGAGGAGCAATTTTTAAAGCTCTTAATATGTTGCACGATCGATATTTTACTTCATATTATTTGCAGTACTTGGATTTTTCCAAGGTTATTGTACTTATTAAATGTCATGTGCATATATTCAATAAAGTCATAAACGACATTAATACAAATCATACAAATGTGATATGATTATCAATTTATGGTGTAATTCCCGGGGCCCAAGGGTCTGTGTGAATATGTGTCTGGGCTGAGCAATTCCTGTTTGCAAATACCACATTGAGAATTGAGCAATTATATTTTCATGCGAAGGAAACATTCATGAATTTGTGGCTTCTGTTCTATATAATTATATAGTGTGATGTGAGGTACCGTACTGTATATAGTTTATGTTGTGTACTTGGGGCGTTTTGTACAAATGTTAATTGTTTTGTCGTTCTGTTTGAATCAAACCACTGTACAGTATTGTCCTTGAATTTATGCACTTTTAGCATAAATTTAGGCCATAGTTTCTCGGTCATGGAAATATATGCCTACATGGGATAGGACCTAGGTGTTCAAATGCCCATAGTTCAATTCAATATATGTGGGACGGCGCGGCAAGTTGTTTTCAGATGGCCCAGTTATTAATTTGTTCGGCTACCTTTGTGGTATGCCATATTTAACAACAATCGTTTACTATAGAGTTGTAGATCAGTAGATGTTTGTTTGTTGTAAACTTTAAAATTGTGTTTGTTGTGGAACAGTGCCTGGTAATATATTGCCCTATCATGTGACAAGATATTATCAGTGGCTCGTAGTCTGCCCTGTTTGCAGTTTCTCTTTAGAAATAATGCCAAGAGCAAGTACCCGCATCCAACGGCGTGCAGAGTAGCCTATGGCTGCTCGTCCGAGATCAACAAGAACTGAGCCACCAACCAATTGTTCAGGATCCAGGCCTAGCTCCACCCGTGAGTGCCAGGAACGACTCCTACAGTGCAAGGAACGACTCCTCCGAACCTTTCGGATTCCACCATTGCCAGAATTACTTCTGCCGTGACCCAGGCTGTTATGGAGTCTTTGCAAATGCCTCAACACAATCCTGTGACATTGCCTTTGGAATCTAACACGAGGGAGGTACCACTGCAGGGCATTTCTGTGGCTGACGCTCAAGGGCAGGGGCCAGTAGCTGCAGCCATGGAAAACCTTCCAGGTGATGTAGTACAATTGGGAGTAATTTGTCCACACCTCATGGCAAGTTCTGTTGGACCAGGTATATCTAATTTCAATTCTGTTATAGTATTCCAATTGATGCCCAGGTCAGCTCCAAGATTAAGTTGAAGATTTGGGGCAACAAATTTATAGATTTTGGGTTACTTATAAACCCCCAAGTAGGCGATACCCGCTACCATTTTTCTCTCGGCATATCCGAGAGTTCAGTACCAACACTTGCTTTAGAACCCACTACAAAGGCTAAAGCTATTCACAACTTTGAGGTGTGGACGACTGTTTTTCAAGTATTTGTTGGGGTTTATACCAGCATGCACCCGTTGGAGGCCCCAGCACTTATGCAGTATGGTGAAGTGGTTCGGGATTTGGCTGCTCAGGCAGGTAATTGCCAATTCTATGACACCCAGTTTCGCTATTTGAATGCTACCCTAGTTAGGTGGATATGATGTGCATGTTGTTTCTTTGTTACATAATGGTTTTACCTGGGGTTTTCCCCTACATTTTTCTGGTGAACGTATTTCTTTTTGTTCCAAAAATCTTTTAGGTAGTCAGTGTTTAACTTGATAAGGACCAGATGATCGTGATACGCGGAAAAGTACTGGCACTAGTTGTCAAATAGAAATCCATTTTATGATTAAAACAACTGAATATCTCCTGTAATATACTTTATTTCGATTCCATATTTTTGTCAGAGCTATAGTTCTCATAACCAAACATAATTACAAAATTTCAACTAGTTTCATAAAGAATAACGAAAGATATAATTGACTGAATACATCAAAATGGATTTCTATTCGGACAACCCTTTCTGAGCGCTGATTGGCTAAAATACGAACTCGAGATCACCTGGGAGTTAACAGCTAATAGAATTGCTGGACCTATTCAAGAACCTCCTTTTCATAATTTTCGAGTTTCCCCTTTGGGCGTTGTGCCACAGAAAACACCTGGGGAATTTCGTCTAATCCACCATTTGTCTTTTCCTCAAGGGGCATCGATACATGACGGTATTTCATCTGAGCATACTGTGGTGTGTTACAGTCGAGTTGACGATGCAATTTCTATGATCAAAAAGCTAAGAAAAAGTTGTTTTCTTGCAAAAACAGATATCAAAAATGCATTTCATATCATTTCTATATGCCCCCAGGATTATGATCTTCTGGGAATTTTTTGGCAAGGAGAATTCTATTATGACCGTGCCATGCCGATGGGATGTGCATCATCCTGTCGGAGATTTGAAATGTTTAGCACTGCAATGGGTTGTCCAGAAACATTTGAACATTGCGCACCTTATCCACATTCTTGATGACTACCTAATGGCAGCTTGATCACATGACCAATGTTGCACTGACTTGAAGAATTTTTTATCACTTTGCGAGTATCTTGGTGTTTCGATTGCTCCGGAAAAGACTGTCGGTCCTCGAACCACTTTGCCATTTGCTGGTATTGAATTAGACACTATATTGTTTGAAGCACGTTTACCAGCGGATAAAATAACTAGCCTAAATCCAAAGCCCTCCTTTCGATGTTTCTACAGCGCAAGAAAGCTACTTTAAAGGAGGTACAGTCATTAATTGGCCTTCTTAATTTTGCTTGTTCTGTTGTTTCTGCGTCGTCTTATAGATTTGAGCAAAGACATACGGTGTGCGTCTCAATTTATCCGGCTTAGTAGATCTGTCAAAGCGGATTTGCGTATATTGAAATCAATGGCCGATCGTTTTTTCTGGGGGATTTCTGGTCTAATTCTGTCCATTTAAATTTGTATATCGATTCTGCAGCTAGCTTGAGTTTTGGAGCTATATTTGGGCAGTTTTGGTGTTTCGATGAATGGCCTGAGCATTAGAAACATATAAATATTGTTATTTTGAAATTTTATCCCATTGTTTTGAGTGTGCTCATGTGTCATTTGATGCGGGGCTGCGCATTGACAGCCGTCTTCCTATTACATTACCTTTTCTTCTGAATATCAACGAAGTCATCCCGTCTTTGTGTTCTATATCTACAATGCCCTTTTATTTAAGGCCATGTGTACAACGGCAGTTTTTGCATTTTTAAGGGTTGGGGAAATTACTTACTGTCCCCGGTCTCCAGCGGTTCTTCAAGTAAAACAGGTGGTCAAGCTTGAGGATCTGTCTGGCGCTATCGTTGGCCTTAAGGTTAAATTCGTTGATTTTAAGCATTCCTATAACCATCCGAGTATGGGGCGTTGGGAATCTGACGCATTCCGAAAGTACATTCGCATGTCAAACATAACTACGAGTAGTTTGAGAAGTTAATAATCTTATGCGAATAGGGATCGATATGGCTGCATAATTTGACCATGTAGCTGACGTATTATTTACCAGTGTTTTAAGTGGCACATTTCTATTTGATACGCGGTACTGGTATGGTTCTGTTTCCATGCCGTTTCGCTGACGCAGGGGCAAGGCGTATACGGTCGGTTCAGTTCCTTACTTTTACTAAATTGGCATTGCAAATAAAAACAATTTATTACAATGTGCATTTCGATAGCGTTATCAGTTGATTTACCACCTACTTTGTTAGGTTTAGTTTGGCTCTTTGCAGTTCTGCTCGGGTGGGGGTGCCTCCTACCCAAGGAGGCTTGTGGCGGGAGAATGCCCCCATCTTTTCTGTGAGAACTGTTATTGTCATTTATGGAAATTAATATTCATTTTGGATTAATTAATAAATCGGCGTGTGCTCACGCACATAGCCATTATTTTCCCAAATGGGTGTAATTGTTTTATTGTTTTGTATCCACAGAAAACGGAGCTCGTCAGTACTGCAAAATTGCCGCTAAGGGGACTGCATGGGTAGTATTGTCCATTTAAGGGAAAGCGATAAAGGAACTATTTTTTCACCGAATAGTAATTTTATTGCTTTCCCTATTATATACATATATAGTTAGATTTACTATAGCTAATGAAATGATGACGTAACGCATGCAGCGAAATATTACGGGGAGAAGTTGCTACATTTGGGAATTTTACTCTGATGCTGCGTATAAAAGGCGCGAGTGTCAAGGTTAGGTTATTCTACCGAAGTCAGTCAGGATCAACACTTGTATACTTTCTTCCAAAGTCCCACCCTTCCCTCCCCTATTTTCTTTCGTTGCGTGTTGTTACCGATCACTTAATAGATTAGTTTTGTTCAAGGTGGCGGGAGAATGCCCCCACTTTTTCTGTGAGAACTGTTATTGTCATTTATGGAAATTAATATTCATTTTGGATTAATTAATAAATCGGCGTGTGCTCACGCACATAGCCATTATTTTCCCAAATGGGTGTAATTGTTTTATTGTTTTGTATCCACAGAAAACGGAGCTCGTCAGGACTGCAAAATTGCCGCTAAGGGGACTGCATGGGTAGTATTGTCCATTTAAGGAAAGCGATAAAGTGTATATTAATAACATATGTCGTTCGGCTTCACAATCAATACATCAAATTGGCAAAATAAGAAAATATCTTTCACGAAAGGACACCGAAAGTCTTGTTCATGCTTTTATTTCATCCAAACTTGACTATTGCAACGGCGTGCTCTACGGCCTTCCTTCTTGTGAATTACAGAAGTTGCAGAGGCTATACAAAACACTGCTGCCAGATTAGTCGTCAGAGAAAGGAAATCTGCGCATATAACACCGATACTTTCTAATCTCCACTGGCTTCCTGTGCAACAACGAGTGACTTTCAAACTCCTTTTGGTGACCTATAAAGCTCTTAATGGCATTGCCCCTTCATACATCACCGATCTACTTCGTCGTCATATCCCTGCCCGTACTTTGCGCTCCAGTAGTCAAAATTTGTTAACTGTGCCTAGAGTGCGAACAGAGACATATGGTGAGAAGTCTTTTTCCTGCGCTGCTCCGAGACTTTGGAACAATCTTCCTGACTCTATTAAGCAAAGTCCAACTATCGATGAGTTTAAGGCAAAGTTGAAAACATATCTTTTTAGGACAGCTTTTACTGAGTAACTGTTTTTAGATTTTTAGATTCTGGTTGTAAAAAGCATTGAGACTCATGTATAATGCGTTTTAAAGAACAATTATATTATTATTATTAGTCTTTTGTGTGTTATATGCAAATTAGTTTTAATGATTGCAGAGTTTTATAAAGTTTTGTTGACACTCTATTACATCAGCCACTTGTCATGCCAGCGACAACTAACGACCAAGGCTTAATAGAATGTCAACAAAACTTTATAAAACTCTGCAATCATTAAAACTGATTTGCATATAACACACAAAAAGACGATTGATTTTAGACTATTTCATATCTACCGCTTGTCGTTCCAGCGACAACTAACGACCAAATGGAAACTAGGCTTAATTAATGAATCCCCTTATTACGTTTTCATAGGGCTTTGCATTGTGGTTATAGTGGTATCACTGATAAAGATAGCGGCCTCGAATGAAATATTGAATGTTTGCGCGAATATTTTGCTGTTGGCTATTGCGCACCTGACCCTAGCTTTTTTAAAAAGTTCTTGCACGGGTCAGGACAAAAAGTAAGCCATCTTGAATATCAGTGATACCACTGTAACCACAATGCAAAGCGCTACGACAACGTAATAAGGCGAATCTAATATTGGCTACGACCTTCCCGACGAAGGGCCTACGCTAGGAACGTTGAAGTTCTGTTTATATTTTTCTGGTAGTTGTACATGTATCTCTTTCACACTGCAGCTGTCACAGGAGGCCCAGGCTCGATTTGCCCGCGCCCGCCTGTGCCTTCCTTATAACGAGGGAAGGACGGAGACATTGAGACCAAAATAGCCCAGACTTGGCATATGTCACCCGAAACTATCCTCGATTTTTCGCCTTTAATGCATTTCTTTCACGATTAATCGACATCCCCTGCAAGAATGATACCGTATAACTCTCAAAACAACGATGCTTTAATCAAATAGTTTAAATTCGCTCTGAAATCCGTGAGGGAATAACAAAATTCGGCCAAAATATATCCGCGTGCCGGGTTTGCTGTGCAAAAAGAGGAAGTCGTTGAACATCTCAAAATACACTCAACCCTGATTGGACAACGAATAACAACAAACAGTTCAAATTTTTTTCACAGTACTGTAATAATTTCAATCATGCAATCAAAACTATTCACAAACGTTATAAAGTGTAAATATTACTGCATGTAAATATAACTGTAGTGCGTTAATATATATAATAAATTTCACATTGTGTTTGTTAAAAAAATTTGAAATGTTTGTTGATATTCGTTGTCCAATCAGGGTTGAGTGTATTTTGAGTTGTTCAACGACTTCCGCTTTTTGCACAGCAAACCAGGCACGCGGATATATTTTGGCCGAATTTTGTTATTCCCTCACGGATTTCAGAGCGAATTTAAACTCTTTGATTAAAGCATCGTTGTTTTGAGAGTTATACGGTATCATTCTTGCAGGGGATATCGATTAATCGTGAAAGAAATGCATTAAAAGCGAAAAATCGAGGATAGTGTTACGAAAGTATTAAAAATAGTATAAAAATAGTTCAATTTGCACCCCAGGTAATTATAGATACTAGTTACGTTAAATGGAGAGATAATGAGCATTTTTGCTGTAAAACGCAGATAAAGTATATATCATTTCGGACTTGCGTAAAAGTGTCAATTATCTGTCCATTAGGCAAGATAAATAATTTGTCAAATTGTCAAAGTTGGACGATAGCCTTGCATGGTGGGCTGTTGTGTTTACATAATTCAAAGTCCAAGGCTGGTTCTTCTCTGACATGAAACTGTGCATGCTTAGGGCCTTTCTGTCAATCATTCTTCGGTATATTTCGCGCGGTTGAGTAATGATAACATTACGTCATCAAAATCTTGGTTCAATAAAATTGTAAGTAAATTTAGTTTAGTAGGTAAAGTAAGGTTCACATAGGTATAGGTTGAAGTTTTTACTATGATATTTTGATGAGTATTTTAAATTGTGAACATGTTTTAATGATGATCGATTGAACAGCGAACCAACTCGACCAGTGCGACAACGCCTTAAATAAACAGAATGTGAGAGCTGGAACGAGCTAGTAACGCCAACCCACACCTTTAAACCTCAACGTTGATTGGCTGGATACAAATCACACCACTTGCTACATCACGTGTAGAAAGATCCTTCAACCGTTAGTATAAAAGGGCGCGCCCAACCCAAATTCGTCAGTGGACGTAGACGAAGTAAAGCTTAAATTATGAAAAGCTACGAAAACTCAAAACGAAACAGCACGAACAAAGAAGACAGACTAAAGACAACGAAGATTTAAAGGAATGAGTGAACGTTAGTAAAACTACTACAAGAAGAATTTGCCTGAAC